CCCCCCCCCCCACTCTCTCTCTCTCTCCCTTCTTTCGTTTTTCTCGTCTTTAGGGTTTCTAACTTTTCTACGCTTTTTTTTACCATCTCGGCCCGATTTCCTCAAATTTGATTCAATTTCTGCATCGAATTTTGGTCTTAGGAACGATGGCTTCGCTGGCTCGCGAATGGGTTGGAATCCAGCAGTTCCCGGTCGCCACGCAGACCAAACTGCTCGAAATCTTGAGCAAATTGAAGGACGAGGTCCGCGACTCCATCTCAACTCGCTGCGATCCGTTTCTAGGAGCCTATTCTTGCTTAAAAATCTAAAGATTTGATTTTTTTTTTCTTTTTGGGCAAATTTAGAAAGTGAACACGCTGACAATTCTGGTGATGGGCAAAGGGGGTGTTGGCAAGTCCTCTACTGTTAATTCTATTCTGGGGGAGAGAGTTGCCAACGTTAGCGCGTTCCAGGTTTTTGTTTTTGTTTTTGTTTCCCATAACGGTTATTGGTTGTGGGTTTTCTTTGTTGGTTAATACTTGCTTATTTAGTTGTTATTGCTGTTGTTTACAGTCGGAATCGATAAGACCCATAATGTGTTCGAGGACACGGGCAGGGTTCACTTTGAATGTAATTGACACTCCTGGTATTGTGGAAGGTGGATATGTCAATGAGCAAGCACTTGACTTCATAAAAAGGTTTGTATGAAAATACTTTGATTGATACCTTGTGTAGCTGTTTGGATGATTTTTTTGTTGTTGTCGTCGTCGTCATCATTAGTATCACCATTTTCTAAGCCTTTCTCCATCAAAATAGGGTCAACCTGATTTACATGAAATATTTCACAAAATTTATGTTCCACTGTGAAAAAATTTCTGAACCCGTACTGGATTCCTTCAGGTTCGGGAGGGACAATGGTCATGGAAATCTCGCCATCTTTTGCACAATTTTATAGCTGGCAAAGACTACCTGTGTGTGTTCTTCTAGTTTTAAGCTCATCCAACATGGGACCAAACCTCCAAAATTGAATTATTCTAAGGAAGGTTTTTGAATGAGGTCTAACATAATTGATATATAAAGTATAATGTATCCAACTCTGAGGTGCAGACAATGCCAAAGATGTTTGCTATTGATATCTTTTTGTATGTTTAGCAATCTTTTTATTCTCGTGGTTATGTTTAAAGATGTTGAGGCAGTATTGATCTTAAATACTTTGTATTTTAATGGCATTTCAGGTTTCTTTTAGACAAGACCATTGATGTGCTTCTGTATGTTGACCGGCTGGATTCATATAGAGTGGATAATCTGGACAGGCAGGTGGTTAAAGCAATCACTGACTTTCTTGGTAGAGGAATATGGGAAAGGGGTGTGGTTGTCTTAACTCATGCTCAATTATCCCCACCGGATGGCTTAAATTACGACGACTATTTGGCCAAACGTTCTGAAGCATTATTAAAATATGTCCGTTTGGGTGCTGGTATTAAAAAGAAAGAGTTTAAGGTATGTTTTTTTTTGTTCTACCAAACATTTCCAGGCTAAAATCTCTTTAAATCTAGACATCTCCTCAGTTTATGTTTGAATTTTGTGTCTTATGAAAATTGTATGCTATTTGGGGACATTGTAGCCATATGTTCACTTTTAAGTTCTATTTAGCTCATTTTTATGGTATTGGCTCAATGTTGTTAACTTAAAAAAAAGCAAGAGGAAAAGTATTTTCCATAAGGATTTATAGGTGACCTAGTAGCTCTTGTTTGAGAATATGTTGACATTTGAAGTTAAGATTCTTAAAAATAATGGTGTTCCATTCTCTTCCCTTGAAAGAAAATAACAATATGAACTTGAAAGTGTATGCAGTATTTATCATGTGAAACCATGCATGCAGATGATGTTAGCAATCTTCTCTTTTATTATTTCTACTGAAATACCCATAAATGTCATTTTACATGAGTAGGAATTCTTGCTTTGCATGTCTTCCTACTTCTTTTCCTATCCGGTTGTTGTGCCTACTTTTTCTGCATGTCTTTCTTATTGTATGCCAAGCTTTTATATACCCTTTATGCCAAGCTTTTATATTCCCTTCCAAGCAACAAGTTGAACCTTCAACAAATTTTTTGTTTGTTGCTTCTGAAGGTAGACTTACCTACTCTACAGTTCCCATGTTCTTAATGTCCATGTAAACTGTAGAATGCTAACTTTTTAAGTAGAAAAGTCCAAAAGTTTTAATTATGTGGTCTATTTTTATTTTATTCAGATATAACCTCTTCACTCATAATTAATTGTTAGCAAGGACGGTAAAATGTTTGAAATCTTATATGGCTTTCCTTTCTATAGTTATATCTTTTGATTTGATCTCTCAAAATATTTGCTGACTACTGTATAAATTCGTATCCTATTATTTTTATGTCTCAGTTCCTTTTGTACATTGATCTTGTAGTCTGCAATTATTTGACTAATACACGTCTACTTGTTCCTATGCCTTCCCATCATTGGTAGTGATACCTTACACCTTATTATGCTGCTAAACTATGTGAATTGCTTCTGTGGCTGTTGCTTCTAATCAACCAAGGGAAAAGGGGGAGAACAAAGTCTAATTAGCCCCCAAACTTTGAACCAATTTCCTAAGTAACCCCTATGTTTTTAATTTTTTCAAAGCACCCCTTAACTTTTTATTTTGTCTTCTTTCTTACACCATGGCCATGAACATTTGAAAAAATGTGCCCGTCATTGATTCTAATGACGGCACAATCTCTAAATGAACAAAGATATAACTAATCTATTCACATATAGGTGAGTTTGCCTCCCAAAAAAAATTAGAATATGAAACAATCCCACTATCCCATTGAGGTTTTAGAGCGACGGTCTAAGAAAGAAGCCGGAATTAAAAGTCAAGGGCTGGTTTGTAAAAAATAAAAACATTGGAAGTTAGAAAAATGGGCTATAAGTTAGGGGTTGACTATAGCAAAAGGAGAGTAGGAATGACTTGGACAATAACTCTTTTCAACTCGGTGGGTGTTAATTCTTCCTTGAAAAGCAAAGACAACAAACTAAAATATGAAAATCCACCGCCCATTATGAAGCTGAAGCAAGGGAGCCTGAAAAGATCTCTATGCAGAGGAAAAATTATTGGGATTTGAGGAACATAAGAACTGGATTTAGATGGAAAAGAGAAAGCATTAAATTAGTAGTAGGACAAATCTTTGGAAATGACCACTTTTGACACTTAATTAGCACAATAGACCAAAAAAGTATTTAATTAGCAAAATAGACCATTTCTGGCTAAAAGTTGGTCTATTTTGCTAATTAAATGTCAAAATTGGTCTATTTCAAAATTTTATCAATTTTAGAACTATTTTGTTCATAAAAATTATAAACATGATTATATATATAAATAGTGAAAAGTTACATTCGATGCAATTATAATTTTCTATTTAATTGTGAAAAGTAAATTTCTGAAATAGACTTGTAGTAAATCTAGTTGTGCATTGTTCTTCTACAAAGTGTTTGTGTTGTAGTTAACAAATGCATAGTATAATAAAATGAATTTCCATTGGCATTACTATATTTTGAAATTATAACTATAGTTGAATTTTATGCATTCAAAGGGAGACCAACATTAACTTCAAATAAGAAAAAAATATAATAAAAAATAAGAGTGTACACCCACAATATAAAAAAATTACCATGACGAGGTGAATATGCAGTTAATAAAACAAGAGGATACATATATATAATAATAAATAGAAAGTATTGTGATTTTTTTCAAATAAGCCAAGAAAACATTTAATTAGAAAAATAAACCAAGAAAATATTTAATTAGCAAAATAGGTCAACTTTGACTAAAAGTTGGTCTATTTTGCTGATTATGTTTTTTTTTGGGTTTATTTTGCTAATTAAGTTTTAGAAGTGGTCTATTTCAAAGATTTGTCCTATATTGATATATATATATATATATATAATAGAAATTTCTATGATTTTTTTAAAATAAGCCAAGAAAATTTTTAATTAGAAAAATAAACCAAGAAAATATTTAATTAGCAAAATATGTCAACTTTGACTAAAAGTTGGTCTATGTTGCTAATTAAGTTTTAAAAGTGATCTATTTCAAAGATTTGTCCTAGTGAGAATGTCTATGACCATAGTCACAATATCGATGTGGGAGTCTCTAATAAAGAGAAGGAAATGATAATTGTACTACAAGTTGTGTACTACTTTTGTACTACCACTAACAGATGTGTAGTTTTTTTCTTGGAAATTGTTCAGAAAATTTGTGAGGCACCATAGACCCCACTATTTTGTTTGTGAAAGTACAAAAGTAGTGAACTTTGTAGTATGACTCTAGAGAGAAACCACACTTTGTAGTAGGACTTTAGAGAGAAACGACAAAGAGGAACCTTCAAAAACAACAGAGTTAACAAGTTCTGCGGTGATTGTTGGAGAAGTGAGAGGAAATGGGTCAATTTGGTGGAAGGGATGATCAAAACCTGAATCCCCCATCAAGTGTATTGCCTCCTAAAACTTTCACTGGTCTCATTTTGTCTGATGTGTTTAGAGGTTCACTGAAGAGCAGTCATGGAGAGAATGAGTAGATGTTGGGTTAAGTTCCGTTTCCTCGCAAATTGCATAGGAAGACTATGCTTGGATGAATGTTATTTTACAACAATCCTTACCTTCTCGCTATAGTTAGTTTGGCAGGAAAATATAGTAGGACTAGTTAATTGCTCCCACAAGATTAATTCAGATTTTCTTGGGACTAATATCCAATTAGACCATTTGGTCTGGGATTAATATGTCTTGAACATGTTTGTTTATCTGGTGCAAATCATTGGTGTCTAAATTGCACTGATATCTATAAATTGCAATACATCTAATTTGCAATCACTTTTGCCTGTGTCAGGACAAGGCCATTCCAGTCACCTTAGTTGAGAATAGCGGGAGATGCAACACAAACGAAGAAGGGGAAAAGGTAATTCTACAGTTCTATCCTCTGTGCCGTCCTATTTTTGAGTTCACTTGGAAGTTATTAAGAACATGGATTGCCTAAAATACAGATTCTTCCTAATGGCACTACATGGATCCCAAACTTAGTGCAAACAATTACCGATGTTACCATAAATGGCGGCAAATCTATCACAGTTGATCAGAAGTTAATTGATGGTCCTAATCCTAACAACAGAGGAAAGTTTTTCATACCGCTCATCCTAGCATTTCAGGTTTGCTGCCGTTCCTTGTTCTAAACATATTTGCTTTGCGGATTGCATTGGTGAATGACATGCATTCGGTTTTTCCCCCCTCGTTTCAGTTCTTTGTAATTGGAAGGATGCAAGGAGCAATAAAGAAAGACGTTGAAAGTGAAAGCAAGCCGCTTTGGGAGCTAAGGGACCTGGGTCTGGCTAACCGCAAATTCTAATATTGCAATGACCACAAATCTTCGTTTAATTTTGTCTTTTTTATTTTTCCTGCTATTTTATCTGTTTATCTTTTCCAAATTGGAGACCAAGCTGGTTGAGGATACAGTATCGAATCTCAACTCTCTTACTGTCTTGACTTTCATGTTCTTAGATTCAATTAAGATGTTTTGTCTCGGTTTTTAGAGAGGTGATATGTTGGCTTTAAAAGCTCTCAGTTTATATGATGGAGTAATAATATTTGTGGAAATTCTTACTTAATTTGACTGCTTTCTTTGACACTTGCTAGCAGCCCTTTGATATTGCTGCAAGGGAAAAGCTTTTTATTTCACTGTCTGCTGTCTGCATTGCTGTGTAACCTTTTATACGAAACTTTCTTGTAAAAATCGAAGATGAGAACTAAAATTTTGTTTGCAAACTGATAGCTTCGTTCATGGTAGTGGGTGCAGATGATAATGATAATGAGTAGATTAAAAAAAAAAAATCTGTCTCGGCTTGCAAATAGATGTACACCATTCACAATTTACGATGTTCTTTGTGAGGGTTTATCAATGAAAATAAAAAAAATCTAGTTTGAAACCTTTCATCTTTGCACCTACTACCTAGTAGCAGAGGAGAAACTGAGCCTAATATTGAACTACTTGTAATAAATAGGGGTACCTAATAGCAATCTCAACTATTTGAGGGACTGATCCGACGTACTAAAGATGTAAGGGGGTAAGGGAGAAAAGCCCCTAGATTTGAGCAATATCTCAAATAAACCCACGAGGAACGAAGAAGCGAACGGAGACCGAAACTCTTTTGTCTCATTTCCCTCGTCACTTCCTCACAATGGAAAAGATCCCAAAATCTCCGATGCTCTTCGATCTTAAGAATCTCCTCTAAAACCCTAGGGTTTCATCATCCCCAAACCCTAGAAATCTCAGATCCAAGCTCCATGGAATCCAACGGATCAGGATCCACCCCCAAATTCCCGCCCCCCAAAACCTCCTCCTCCAACCACCGTCATTGGAACGGAGGAGACTACGGCCTCAGCGTCAACGATCGCCGCGTCGCCTTCTCTCGCAATCCCTCGTTCCGACACCCCGATCCCCAATCGCCGATCTCGGTTCAGAGGAGCAACTCGTTCAGGCCGAATCTCTCGAGAAGCGACTCGAGCATCATTATCGATGATTCTTGGAAAGGATACGAGAAGCCGAGCTTGGGAGCGGAGAGCGGTGGCGAGATGAAGTTTTCGGTTTTTGGTTTGGTGGTGACGATGGCTAGAGCCGTGAGGTCTGGGAATCGATCGATGAAGAGATTGGCGCTGCTGATTTCGCTGAACGTGGCATACTCGACGACAGAGTTGGCTATTGGGCTCTTTACTGGGCGCGTAGGTGAGGATTTTTAGGGCGCTTTAGGGAAGTAGTGAATAAATTTTCAAAACAGACTCATTCGGATTTTTATTTTTCAAAATCGACCGTTTTTTCTTTTATTTATCAAAACAGACCGGATTTTGTGATTAGGAGGTTAATCACTATCCTAAATAGTCGGGTTGCCAACCCCGACTATTTAGGAGGGTGTTAAACCCTAATTAAGGCCTTTAATTAGGGTTTAACACCCTCCTAAATAGTCGGGGTTGGCAACCCCGACTATTTAGGATAGTGATTAACCTGCTAATCACAAAATCCGGTCGGTTTTGATAAATAAAAGAAAAAACGGTCGATTTTGAAAAATAAAAAACTAAATGGGTCGATTTTGAAAAATTGTTCGGGAAGTAGTAGTTCGAAACAGTGAATTATTTTTAAACTCGTACGGTTTTAAAATTATTCATACAACAACAATTGATAACATATGTTATAGCAGTTTAACAAATACTATAACAGTTTAAATAGCATTTTACCATACTTCGTAGCAGATTAACATAGATTTTGGGTTTGAAAATAAATCAAGTTGGGTGATTTGGGTGTATGAATGATTTTAGGTTTATGTAAAAATAAATAAGGGTCGAAGGATGGCTTTAAAATTAAGAACGGGAAAAAACCTTCTCATAGAATATCGAACTTTTCACTTTTTGTATGAAATTGATAGAATGGTGTTGTTTAATTTAATTTGATATGCTTTATGTTAGGTTTGGTGTCTGATGCCTTCCATTTGACATTTGGTTGTGGGCTTTTAACATTTTCACTGTTTGCGATGGCCGCTTCTCGGAAGAAGCCTGATGGAGTTTACACTTATGGGTAAGTTATTAGTTGTTAGATTCTAATTTGTCTAGCATATTACTTTATCTTATTGAGCCTGTAACTGTTTACCCTCATGGTAAAAGTGTGATTGGGTAGAAGGAAGTATATGATATTTACCTTTTGGGAAGTCCTTATTCAGGGCATTGCAACTATAACTTGAATACATATATTAAAGAGGCTTGTACATGTACTTGAATTCTTCTTAAGTCCAATTAGTAAAAGCCAGTAATGCCCAGTATTTCACTTCTTTCTTATAATGTATTTGGTACTTGAGATTATGAATAACTTAATGTCAGGAGAGCCGTCTATAAACATAGTTGAGTAAGCATTGATTGATTGACAATGATGAGGAAAGAAGTCGTTTACCACAACTGAAATTTCTTGTAATCAATTAACCATTGCCGATTTTCCTGATAGGAGCAAGAATTACTGGTTCATTCTGACCAATTGGCTGTAAGAGTGTTCATTATATGAGTTTCCAATTGTAGTTGAACATGGCACCTTGCAGAGAAAGATTCTCATCAGCATGGTTCATTCATACAAATAAACATTCACACATACAAATAAACTTCTAGTTTGGTAAGATCACCTGCGGGCAAGCAGGTTGCTTCGTGCAGGAAAGGGTTGACCGCTTAAGTAGTATGTATGTGTAACAACCCAAAGTGAGTTTTACCATCCCCAATTTCAAGGGATTTAATGCATCTCTGAAGGTTAATTGATGTGATCCTGTGAAAGCTGAAATTCTACTCTGTGGAGATTAGGGAGTTGAGAGTCCCAATAGATAGAGAGGAATACCATGTGTAACAATCTGCATTCAAGGAAAAGTACAAGATGAATACCGGAGTTAAGAATTTGCTTCCTTGACTATTGAAATACTCTTGCTAGTTATTTCTTTCTTACATTTTTTCTTTGGAGAGTCCTTTCCTCCTCTTGCTAGTTATTTCTTTCTTACGTTTTTCTCTGGAGAATCCTTTCCTACTTTGCTTAAGGTGAGAAATTGAGCCCAAACTTGTATCAGGTATATCTATATGTACACTTCGCATTTGTGCAAGGTGTAAAACTTTTAATGCTTAGATTATTTCTGAATTATGGAAACCAACTTGAGCGAATTGGGGAATGATTTCTCCTCTCGAGTAAGGGAACAAATGGATGATCCTTTTCAGTATATCACTGTATTTTTTTGGTGCTGCTTATGTTGACATCTATGCATATTCTAGCAAAAAAGGACCTTTCATGCACGGCTGTAGTTTGAGATTCTGTTGCTTTACTGTGTTAAAGAATTATTACATTCTTTAGAAGTATATATAGTTTCCGCATAACATATTGTAACTTAATACCTAGTTTATGTACTATTTCAGCTTGTAAGTAAAATTTGTGCGCTCTTTTGTATTTATTTAGAACCACTGATAGAATTTTTCTTTCCTAAAATTTAGTTACCAGTTCATTTTTAACATTCTGAAACTGACAAATTGGATCTGTAAATACATATTACTACATTGTCTTTGGTTATTTCTTTTTTTTTTTGTAATCTCTAACTTTTGCTAGTTAATGTTGTTTTAGTAACCCTTTATTAGTTCATTAGTTAAATGTGACCTTCTTGGTAATGCTTCCTATTTGTTATGTAGTAATAGCGCTTTTAGAAAACAACATGCTGTTCTAGAAGTACCTTATTGTTCCAGGCAAGAGAAGTAATTTTCTTATTAACTCTACAGATACAAAAGGTTAGAAGTATTGGCTGCTTTCACAAATGCTGTAAGTACTTCCTGTTGCTCATGTCAGTTAGTTTAATTGGTTCCATAATTTAAGGGGGAGGGGGAGGCTCTAGCTATTTTCATAGCCATTTTTATTTGTTACTGTTATAACGGCTAACACATGATCATGTTTCTGTCCTGTTTAGACAGCTGTTTCTGGTGTTTATGTCATTCTCCTTGGCAGTAGAAGCACTACATGCATATATACAAGATGAATCAGAACATAAGTAAGTTTAAAGTTATTTAGCGGCCATATGGTTTTCTTTTGTTCCTATTTGTTTGAACAATGTCGTATTAATGTAACTCAATCTGTCTAACTATATGTTTGCTTCATGTGCATGTTGTATACAAAGTGATTGCACATAAAATAATCTACAAGAGGCTTGTAATAACATGCTTCATAGCCCGTTTCAACAGTGTGGTCCATTAACTGAATTTGGTTGAATTTCTCGCCTTGCTTGAACGTCTAAAATACTTGGGAACCTATGAAATGGTCCCTAGTTTCACACTAGTCACAAATTTGTCAAACTAACTTCGGGTGAAGCAATTCATGCGATAAAGAAAGTGGATTTCTTTTTAACAACCTTCAACATCAGTTTATTTTCTCAGCCCTCCAAAACCCATCACTGCCTAGAAAAATAGGAGAACAAGACTATTGCTCAAACCAGAAATGGAAATATGGGAACACGATAATTATCTTTCTAGAGGCCACATCTTTAATGCGATCTGATTTTGCGTTATGAATGACCTTTTCTGAGTTAAGTAAGCTTGCCATATTTTCTCAGCCGTCTAAAATGTTTGAACAATGTCGTATTAATGTAACTCAATCTGTCTAACTATATGTTTGCTTCATGTGCATGTTGTATACAAAGTGATTGCACATAAAATAATCTACAAGAGGCTCGTAATAACATGCTTCATAGCCCGTTTCAACAGTGTGGTCCATTAACTGAATTTGGTTGAATTTCTCGCCTTGCTTGAACGTCTAAAATACTTGCGAACCCATGAAATGGTCCCTAGTTTCACACTAGTCACAAATTTGGCAAACTAGCTTCGGATGAAGCAATTCATGCGATAAAAAAATGGGTTTCCTTTTAACAACCTTCAACATCAAATTATTTTCTCAGCCCTCCAAAACCCATCACTGCCTAGAAAAATTGGAGAACAAGACTATTGCTCAAACTAGAAATAGAAATATGGGAACACGATAATTATCTTTCTAGAGGCCACATATTGAATGCGATCTGATTTTGCGTTATGAATGACCTTTTCTGAGTTAAGTAAGCTTGCCATATTTTCTCAGCCGTCTAAAATGTTTGAACAATGTCGTATTAATGTAACTCAATCTGTCTAACTATATGTTTGCTTCATGTGCATGTTGTATACAAAGTGATTGCACATAAAATAATCTACAAGAGGCTCGTAATAACATGCTTCATAGCCCGTTTCAACAGTGTGGTCCATTAACTGAATTTGGTTGAATTTCTCGCCTTGCTTGAACGTCTAAAATACTTGGGAACCCATGAAATGGTCCCTAGTTTCACACTAGTCACAAATTTGGCAAACTAGCTTCGGATGAAGCAATTTATGCGATAAAGAAAGTGGATTTCCTTTTAACAACCTTCAACATCAGTTTATTTTCTCAGCCCTCCAAAACCCACCACTGTCTAGAAAAATAGGAGAACAAGACTATTGCTCAAACCAGAAATGGAAATATGGGAACACAATAATTATCTTTCTAGAGGCCACATCTTGAATGCGATCTGATTTTGCGTTATGAATGACCTTTTCTGAGTTAAGTAAGCTTGCCATATTTTCTCAGCCGTCTAAAATGTTTGAACAATGTCGTATTAATGTAACTCAATCTGTCTAACTATATGTTTGCTTCATGTGCATGTTGTATACAAAGTGATTGCACATAAAATAATCTACAAGAGGCTTGTAATAACATGCTTCATAGCCCGTTTCAACAGTGTGGTCCATTAACTGAATTTGGTTGAATTTCTCGCCTTGCTTGAACGTCTAAAATACTTGCGAACCCATGAAATGGTCCCTAGTTTCACACTAGTCACAAATTTGGCAAACTAGCTTCGGATGAAGCAATTCATGCGATAAAGAAAGTGGATTTCCTTTTAACAACCTTCAACATCAGTTTATTTTCTCAGCCCTCCAAAACCCATCACTGCCTAGAAAAATAGGAGAACAAGACTATTGCTCAAACCAGAAATGGAAATATGGGAACACGATAATTATCTTTCTAGAGGCCACATTTTGAATGCGATCTGATTTTGCGTTATGAATGACCTTTTTTGAGTTAAGTAAGCTTGCCATATTTTCTCAGCCGTCTAAAATATTTGAACAATGTCGTATTAATGTAACTCAATCTGTCTAACTATATGTTTGCTTCATGTGCATGTTGTATACAAAGTGATTGCACATAAAATAATCTACAAGAGGCTCGTAATAACATGCTTCATAGCCCGTTTCAACAGTGTGGTCCATTAACTGAATTTGGTTGAATTTCTCGCCTTGCTTGAACGTCTAAAATACTTGAGAACCCATGAAATGGTCCCTAGTTTCACACTAGTCACAAATTTGGCAAACTAGCTTCGGATGAAGCAATTCATGCGATAAAGAAAGTGGGTTTCCTTTTAACAACCTTCAACATCAGTTTATTTTCTCAGCCCTCCGAAACCCATCACTGCCTAGAAAAATAGGAGAACAAGACTATTGCTCAAACCAGAAATGGAAATATGGGAACACGATAATTATCTTTCTAGAGGCCACATCTTGAATGCGATCTGATTTTGCGTTATGAATGACCTTTTCTGAGTTAAGTAAGCTTGCCATATTTTCTCAGCCGTCTCGTTGTGCTTGAGCAATACAAACTTTAGTATGTTTTATTAAAATAGATCTTCTATAACTTATTCAAAGGCTAAGTATTTAACTTGTTACAGGCATTACCTGATTGTTTCAGCTGTCACCAACCTTCTGGTGAACTTACTTGGGGTTTGGTTCTTTCGAAGCTATGCCCGTGTTAATATTGGTATGTTCAATCAAATAAAATTTCCTACAAGGAATGTCACTACTCACTGTGTACTAGGCTGATTTATCTTGTTATAGCAGTTTACAGAAAAGCTGAAAAAGAAAGTGGATTTCCTTTTAACAACCTTCAACATCAGTTTATTTTCTCAGCCCTCCAAAACCCATCACTGCCTAGAAAAATAGGAGAACAAGACTATTGCTCAAACCAGAAATGGAAATATGAGAACACAATAATTATCTTTCTAGAGGCCACGTCTTGAATGCGATCTGATTTTGCATTATGAATGACCTTTTCTGAGTTAAGTAAGCTTGCCAATGAGGTTTTATGTTGCCGTTGTGCTTGAGCAATACAAACTTTAGTATGTTTTATTAAAATAGATCTTCTATAACTTATTCAAAGGCTAAGTATTTAACTTGTTACAGGCATTACCTGATTGTTTCAGCTGTCACCAACCTTCTGGTGAACTTACTTGGGGTTTGGTTCTTTCGAAGCTATGCCCGTGTTAATATTGGTATGTTCAATCAAATAAAATTTCCTACAAGGAATGTCACTACTCACTGTGTACTAGGCTGATTTATCTTGTTATAGCAGTTTACAGAAAAGCTGAAGATATGAACCACCACTCCATCTGCTTACATGTACTTGCAGATTCTATAAGGAGGTACAAAATATTCATCATTAGGAAGGATTTTTTTTTGGTATGCATGTCATAAACCATGGTCCCTCTTTTATCCCACTGTCGGAATTTCTACTAAATTCTCTATGAAATACATCTCAGTGCAGGTTTGATCTTGGCATCATGGTTTCTGAGTCTAGGGTAAAAGAATATGCACCTTGAACTTGCTATTATTTTCAGAAACTTCTCTTTTCTCTACTTTTGGTTTTCTGCGCTTGTTGTTTACATCTTAATTTCCTCTACCAGGGTTGAGAATGCTGAGGTTTTGTGCTTGGGATTGGTTTCGGTTGCTGTGCTAATGGTAATCAAACCACTCTTTCTATCAACAGGAAGCATTTTGCTTCAAATGTCTCCAGCCAGCATACCCTATTCTGCCTTAAGCAAATGCCATAGACAAGTACGTTCTTTGCCCCTAAACTTTTTCTGTTTGTAGTTTTAGGTTCACATCTTATAGTTCTTTGATTTAACTAACGGTATTACTTTCTGATAGATAACTTCGTTGGAGGATGTTTGTGAAGTTTCTCAAGCACGGTTTTGGGAAGTGGTACCTGGTCATGCTATTGGTTCAGTATCAATACAGGTAAAGTGTTAAAGGATCATAATAGAGGTATTTTCGGTTGTATCTGGCGCCACATAAACTTTTAGAAATTTAAGGTTCTCTCCTTTAGCTGCATCTGGCAGCAAGAAAAAGAAGGGGGAAAAAAAAAATTCTAACCGAAGTATGTCCTGTCACTGGTTTGTTTGTGCTCATGCAAGTGTATATCTGACAGTGTTCAAGAAATTTTTGTGAAACCACTTACATATTTTATAATTTATATAGACCAATATATTACTGTTGTTGCATTTTTAATCTTTTCGTTTTGAATTATTGAGAGAATCCATCATTGATCATCAACTTTTATTTGGACCAGGTCAAAAAAGGAGTGGACGATTACCCAATTCTTCACTACGTGCATGGATTGTACCACGACCTAGGCATACAAGAATTGACAGTTCAAACTGATTATTTGTAATTCCTTCCTTGAATTGATGATCCAAATTCTTCTTCATTTTTTATATATATTATAAGCTGAATGATTATTATTTTGTAGTTTGTACGATACATAGGTTCCCCGAAATTGTTCCGCTGAAATTTCTATTGATATTGTAAGTGATAATTGCGAAAATGTTACTTGGAGATGAGCGCGACGAGAAATTTCATTCGTATTAGTTGTGACTTGAGGTCAGAGGAACATTGTGAAGCATTTTCTCTTTCGTTTTTCTTTTCTTTTCTTTCTTTCTTTTTTTTATTTGTTGGGGGTCGGGGTGCGTTCCATGGCGATCCCTGCGTAGTATAATACTCTGATGCGGTATTTATGGATCCGCTCATCAATCTTGTTGTCTTTTGTAGAAAAAAGAGAAGATTTTTCTTATATTGGTCCCCTAACCCCAATCTCATACTTAAATGTCTTCCAACTCTATAAGGCCGCATTTGTTTTTTTATCCCCAGACTAAGGTGTATTATAACTCCCGGATAATAGTATTGGAACTATGTCATCTTGAGATTATTTTAGTCCAGTCCATTGTTTGTTTTTGCACGGGTTAACATTTGGACCAACTTAGCTCAAACTAGTGTTTGTTTTTAGGGGAAGTACAATGCATGTATGATGCACGTGGATATATTTATTTTAGATATGAAAACATCTCATTGTTTTTATATCATAAGTAATTTTTTAGATATGAAAATACCTCATTGTTTTTATGAATAACACATTACTACCTTCTTTTGGTAAAACATATAAATATTATTAGTAAATGTTAAAAACTTCGATGTGATTTGCATGTAATAAAAATTGGTCAATCTCACACCTAAAATTGGCAATTGAAAAAACCTATTTATTACCACTTATAGTTTTCTCTGAAGTTAGTTTTTACTCCCACATTTAATAGTACTAGTTCTTGTGCACGTGCAATGCACGTGGTTAGATATCAAAATTATTATTATTATTGTTTATTTTCTTGCTATAAATTAATAGATTCTTCTTGAGTTAATCTTTATACATGGATTATTACATTTGCAATAAATTTTATTTAAATTTTTTTAAAAAATTTATGAAATAGATTTGCGTGTAAAACTGGGATCAATATACTTTTATATACTTCATACACAACATTATTTTTTTTTTAAAATTTGTATATATCAAACTTCATGTAACATACTTGTTTATCGAATCAAATCATCGATCTCCAATTTGTTTATCTTAGTCATTAAATGTAGTGTTAAATTTGAAAAAAAAATACAATAATGTATTGTTGATGTGTTAATAAAATATAACCAAATACTTAATATTAAGATGGTTTGTATAAGCTCAGCACCAAAGTACATACTTTTTCACATGGCTGTAAGATATCTTAATTACTGATAGACTTAAAAAAAAAAAAATAAATACTAAACATTTCTGGTGACTCTAGTATAATTTTATATGACAAAATCATTCACATAAGCATATTAAAAATTTTGCATCAAAATCCATTCTGAAGATTCCTAATTTTACTCAAAAGTTTAAGTTCAACTATAAAATATTCAAAAAATATTATCCTTTGTTCCTTCTTTGTTCATATTTAATTGAGCCGAGATTAATCATTCTACACCTTTATCTTTTTCTTAGGCAATTCTACAGCAGTGTCTTCATCATCTATATCAATTGTGATATTAGATTGATATGTAATAAAGAGCAAAAGACAAGACAAGAGTCCAGAAATATATTAGGATATACTTAGATCAATCAAATTATGTTATTACTCATAATTGCTATGCATCGGAGACAAAATGTGTTGACAATCTTAAACTATAAAACAAACTGTATGTGCTCTCTGACAGAATTTTTTTAATGCAAGCAGCCCTCAAGATTAATTTTGAAAATATCTTGGGGTCAAGAATAACCAACTAACAAGTTTGCAGTGAAAGCTAGGAGAGCGCAGTACATTCTTAAGAATTATTAATCTTTACTTAATTTATTTATAATGATATGATCTCATTATTAACTAACTACAAGGCCTAGCACATTCTTTTTTATTGGACATTCAAGGCAGGCAGAGGACCCAGATGAGTCCTCGTCGCAATGAATGTTATACAATTTAAGTACAAAGAAAAAAGAAGGATTGATCAATGATGTAGTTGATGAAGGGGAAACTCCAACAACTTAATTTGGGTATGTCGATATATTATAGATGGAGATGGAGAAGGTGGTTTTGAAAACAGTGAGCGTGTGGGGTAATTAATATGGTTTTTATTTGTGTGGTTTTCTTCGTTCATTTTTAAGATATATGTAGTCCTGTGGATATATATAGCTATAACATCACTATTCTCTTTTGGCTTTGTGGAAGAGTTTGGGTGAAAAATAAATAAATTATCTAATTCAGTTAAAGTAGGATCATATAAGTTAAGCCCATGCATAAAATTTATTTTAACAAACACTAATATGTAAGTATTACAATTGGCATTGAGATCTAAAATAAGTGTGAGATTCTGTTTGACTTTTATACAAATAATATCTATTTAAATAATAATAGTATAATTAAACTTTGTGATCTAAAAAAATAAAATATACAATATAATTAATTGCTTTAAAATAATCTAATCTAACCTAATAAGAAAAAATAAATGAAAGTAATGTAAAAATTATTGCAATTTCATAATTTAAACAATCTAATCTAATAATCTAATCTAATAAGAAGAAAATAACAAAGGCACATATCTATTGAAGGAGGTGAAAGTATTATGAAAATTGTTGCAATTTCTGATATAAAAAAAGATCAAACATACGATATAATTAATTGCTTTAAAATAATCTAATCTAATCTAATAAGAAGAAAATAGATGAAAGTATTGTGAAAGTTATTGTTATTTCTTAATATGAAAAATTATTAAAAACGCAATATAATTAATTACTTTAAAATAATCCAATCTAATCTAATAAGAAGAAAATAACAAAGGCGCATATTTATATTTATAGAATGAGATAAAAGTGCTATGAAAATTATTGTAATTTCTTAACTTTTATATATTGGCATGTGATATTGCATGTGAGAGAATAACAATTATAAATAGAGTTCTATTTAAATAATAATAGTATAATTAAACTTTAAAACTAATTATGCAGTACCGTGAATTACTTGAAGTTTAGTCGGTGAGAGATCGCCATGTTATGTCCTTAGATCACAGTCATTTATTTTAATTTTTCTTTTTTTATAATTTTGAGAACGACTCGTCTCTTTAATTTGTTTGGTAGTTTTTGCAAATATCTCATCCATATTATGTACATTTGTAGGTTTGCGTTGTTCCTAGGTTCGACATTTGGGACAGACATTATTTGTCTTGTTGATTTATTTGGTTTTTGCATATACACCCTTCATCTTGTATGCATTTGTAAAGTTAGTATTTAATAATTTCATTAAGGTTTACATTTCATTTTAAACTATATCCCTATCTTCGTACTATGTATATCTAATAAGAATTCATTAATTTATCAACTTATTCTTACTTAATGGATTAGTATTTGAATTTCAAGGGTATTTTTGTTTACCGAAAGATTTTTCTAAACTCGTGCTTTTAATTTAAAATAGTAAATAATAATATTTCTAACATCTTACGAATAGTAAGTAGTAATGTGCGACTTCTAAAAATGATTGGGTATTTAAATGTTAAAAAATACTTCGAGTATACAAGTGCAAAGTCATATAAACTATAAGGCCCCGTTAAATAAGTTTTATTTTAGCTCTTGTGATCAAATTTAGTGTTTGAGAATAACAATGATTTTGACTATTTCTTTATAATTAGAAGGGTTAACTCTTAATCCTTCTAAATAAGAGTATTAGTAAACCCCTCATTTTGAAGAGTTAACTCATTTTAATCCCTCTAGAGGGGTTAGCTTAACCATTCTATATTTTTTATATTTGGCAAATTATGATGGGTTAACTCACTTTAACCCATGTATAGATTTTTTGTGTTTGGCGGGTTAAGAAGGGGTTAAGGAGACTTAACCCCTCACTTAACCCTTTGCCAAACGGTAGCTAAGTGAAGTAAATTGGCTCTTTGCAATGTAAAATCATCCACTAACACTACTTACAAATTTAGAGATTTAGGGGGTGTTTGTTTGCATGCAAGTGAAAGATGAAAGTGAGAAAGTTACTTTCATTTAACAATTAAGGTGTTTGTTTTCATGTAAGTGGTTATGAAAGTGAGATGTAAGAAAGTTGCCACATAAGATTTAATGCAATTTTGACTTCCCCTAAAAAAGTGGTGAAGTCACATGAAAGTGACAAAAAGGTAAAATATTTAAGCTCCTAATTGGGAGTTTGTTAGAATATTTCTTTTAGAGCAAGTGCAGCAAGCTCCCAGTTGGGAGTCCTAGTCAGCATGCTCTCAAGAGCTCTCAAGCTTTTTAGAATAAAAAATTAACAAATTATACCTTGGGAGATACTCCTTCTTTTATGGAGCTCCAACAAGCTCCTAGTTAGGAGCTCAAACAATATAAAAAAAACCCCTCTTCTATTTTAATATTTCACCCATTACTTTTAATTATATTTAAACCTATTGTATTTAAACCAAATTTTTCACTCAAACGTTCATTTTTTCACTCAGTCCAACGAATAAAACACAATAAAAAAAAATTCATCGTCAAAAACATCGAACCCAGAGAAAAATGTCCACGAATTTTCCCCCAAACCAAAACCTCTTCATTTTCCCCCAAACCCATGCCTCTTCTTCTTCTCCCCAACCCAAACCAGTCTTCAAAAACCCACGAACCCAGAGACTGAACCACCGCCGACCATCGGATCTCTGGCTCCCCAACCCGCGGCCTCGGAGACTCAACCACCGCCGCCCATCGGAGTACAGACCAGCCGCCCGCGAAGCTGAAGTCCGTCGCCGCCGATCTCATCGATTTGAGACAAAAAGGTTCGATTTTTACTTCAATTTTGTGTAGATCTGCGAAGATTGGCCACGTCAGCCTTGAGAGCTCTGAAGAGAGCTTGCTGCCCTTGCTCTTATCATGTCATGAGTTGGTAAAGTTACATTAATGCGTAGGAAAAGGAAATCAAAAAAGATATTCAATTCCAACGTATACTATATATGAGTTGTTTTAGGCTGCTTGATTATTTCTTGAGAGACTTTGTGCGCAACAAAGCGGGATAGTGGGTTGGGGTTTCGATCGGGAGGTCAAAAGTTTTCCTGATATCCTCAGCACGAGTG